CACTTTGCCTGTTTGTAATCCAGCCTTGATAACTTGAAATGTCCCAAAGTCCTGCTGATAAACAGGATTGTAATCCATATTATACAGATATAGTCCTTTCACATCTTCTTTCAGTGACCTGCAGGGAGGATTTCTTTGTCCTCTTTCTATTGAAACATGTGTTTCAATAAACGTGTCCAGCACATGTTTTTCTTTTAATTTGTTCAAGTTCAGTATCAAAGTTTTTTCTACTTGGTCTCACTCTCTGTCTCTCTGTCTGTCTCTCTCTCTGATGTGACTGTCAGCTGTGTGTCAGAGAGGGTGCTGAGGTTCAGATAAACCCATCCTCCTGGTGTGTACTGTAACACCAATGCAGCGTGTCCTAAAAATATAACAAGGAGGTCAGCCAGAGTGTGTGCACATCATTTGCGTGTGTGTGGGGGGGGCTCTTTTAAGGAAAGGTATGTTATCGTTGTTCTCGTGAGCTTAATGCAAGATGATAATGGAGGTGTGATACATGCAAAGACACAATGAAATGCACACACGCAAACACACCCGTTCGCACACTTAAGTGAGGTGTGAGAGCAGGAGAGGAGTTGATGACAAGAACTAAAAGTCTGCTCACACTCTCTTCGTGTCTCTACACCGTTGAAGGTCTCTGGTTCCTTTAGAACAGAGCAAGAGGTGGTGTTTTGGGCTGAAAAACATAATTTATAGTGATACATCTACATCTATATATTTAACAGTTTTGTTGATACAGCAAAACATATAAGAATGTTTATTGTTTTACCACTGTATGGCACAAAGTATCCTGATATACTTCACAAACAACATACAAAATTCCAAACAGTTCCATTTACAAGATGAAAGTGTAAAATTATATTTTTACAATGATTCCCTGAGGTTGGCTGTTAATTTGTGAACTGTGACAGTTTAATAGTCTATAAACTGAAATACCATCCTAACTAATCTTATAAAATCACAGATATCTTCCATAACTCCATGGCAGTTTATTCAGAAATATAATAATATATAATAAAGTTTTACCATATCTGTTGAGGCTTTTTTTAGCTGCAGTAAGCTGAATGTTCATGCCAACCTCATAAGGGCTCACAGACTGAATGAAAATGAAAGAATGTTCTGTGTAGTTTAAATTAAAATTCGCCAGTATCAAATAATAATAATAAATAAAAGATAATAAGACATCCCATCTTTTTAGGGTAGGGTGCCTTCATGCCCATTTTGCTTTTTAATCTATTGAGCTACAACTTTTTTAAATCCTTTATTGTATTATGTTTTATATGTATTAATAAATAAATAAATAAACTAAAACAATATATATAATGTAATATATGGAGAATAATTTACTTAAATGACAAGGACTGGAATCAGAACTTAAGTAAGAAACAGAATCGGTATCAGAAATGAGTAGTAATATGCCACGGCAAACTGTGAGCCAAAAGAAAAAAGGCAAAAAACCCTGGTCATTAAATATCACAGGTTTGAATTCATAGTGGATCAAATATTGTAAAATCTACAGGGTCAACCGACTAAGTGTATGACAAAGAATAAAAAAATAAAGCCATTTGGTTGATCAAAGTTTTCCAAATTCACCTCAGAATAACAAATGATTTCACAAGTCTTGCTGTGATGGTTGGCACAAGCTCGAATTACCTCAAGCTGTTCGGAACAACATAAAGCTTCGTTCATCAAGGCTGTAGATGCTGCTAACTTTGTAAAAAATGTTGTTGTTTAACTGTTCAGCTTTGAAAAGTCATGAGTTGCAAGAAAGAAGTCTTTATCTCTGTGACTCTGCAGCTCTCCAGTGTTTTATGTTTCTGTTCAACCCCCGAGGAGGGTCACTATGTTCATCTGCTTAATTAAATGTGGCAGCATGTCAAATTGAGACATGCTTCCTAAACTTCATGAAACTCCTCTGAAGTGGAGCTGAATGGCATCACATCATTGTTAAACCACCCACAGCAGTGTTAATTCAGTGTTAGAGATGCTCAGGTCACAACATATTTGGACCAAAAACTTCATCTCAGTTCAGCCAGTTCAACATAAAATAATACATTTTCTTACATGTGGTAGAAACTAAAGAGCTTCTGGTTATGCATTGTTGTTCACCAGCATGTTGTCACATGGTGTAACCACTGTTTCAGATCAATGGAGGGAACTCTGTTCTTCGCTACCACTCATGAAGGCCTGGAGGAAACCAGTGTGACACTATCACAAGTTCTCTGGAAGAAAGTCACAGCCTCTACAAATCTTCCATGCTGATTAAAGAAGCCTCGAGCTAAATTCTGTCACAGTATTTAACCCCTCTGTCATCCTGCATGAACTGGTGTTGCTTTATTTTATGTATTGTGTCATCTGCTGTGACTTAGATGACATGTTGCATTATTTTTCTATTGAGTAAAGATGCTGTTTTCACTTTGGCAAATGATTGAACCTAAATTGATGAATAAAATGGCCTAAAGTTGAATTGAACTAAATTTGAATTACAGTGAAATGAACTGAAGCAACAAAAGGAAATATCATTATAATTGTTTCCCTCCTCTGCTGCTATGATCCCTCACTGGCTTCCCACATCATACCGGACAACTGTGTTTTTCTTGGAAAGGCCAGAAGCAATGCTACTTATACTGTATGTGCTTTGTGAATTTCCAGTAAATGGATGGAAAGTTTAAAAACTGATAAAATACCACATGATACCCTGATTTTTACCAAGTAAATGATGACACTGTAGGACTTTTTTTATATTCAGCAGTATGTTATATAGACTATATACAGTATATTCCTCAACTACACTTACAAAAATGTGAACTCTTCTAAGCAAACACATAGATTCATGAAAGAAACTTTCCTATTAAAGGAGTAGTACAGAAGATTGATACCATCCTCAAAATATGAAGCTACAGCAAGTTAGCTTAGCACAAAGACAGGAGAAACAGCTAGCCAGGCTCTGTCCAATGGTAAAAAAAGAGAGAGCAAAGGACTACAACAACCTAACCAAAAGGCAACATCAATGGCTGGCAAATGAAGCCTACACAGTACACAATACAAGTAACAAAAACTGCAGTTCCTTGAACATACTCTACTGTAACACATTAAAATGCCTGTAATAAGTACCAGGCTGTAAATGAACCCTCCACGTCTTTGCTCATTTTTGGATCAGCATGCTGGTGGAGCCAGATCTGACCATTCTGAGCTTCATAACGGCTCGTCACAAACCTATGAACAGAGACTACGTCCATTTTTAATTATACAGTTTATGTGCAGTTCACTTTCTTGCATCTGATAGTTTCTGTGCCGTGCTTTTGGGTTTAAATCGGCCTCACGTCATTACAATTTTTAGATGTGAGCTTGAGAGGTGCTGGTAGGCCTTTTTTCACCTTAGAGCCAAGCTAGATGTTAAGCCCCAGAGTCTTTACGCTAAGCTAACCAACTGCTGGCAATCCCCTCATCCAACTCTTGACATGAATTGGAATAAGCATATTTCCCACAGTATCAAATTACAGATTAATTGCTGCTCTTTAAATTATACACTGAAGCTATTATTATCTAACAATAATATGTCACAATTGTGTAAGCAGGGTAGGTCCAAAACGCTTACAGGATAGTGAGGCAGGCAGATGTCAAAACAAATCCGACAAGGCAGAAAATCCAAAGAAAAATCAAGTAAGTTTCAGCAAACAAAGAACGAAGAAGTTCAGAAAAACCCTACGAAAGATCGGAACACTTGACACATTACACAAAGACAAACTGGCACCGAGACAAGGGGACACACAGACTTAATACACTAGAGGGAAAAATCATGAGGGACAGGTGAAACTAAGCAGGACGGTGGGAAAACGCACAAAGACAGGATGTGAAGTTACTGAAAGAAGAAAGGAGTATTTCAAAATAAAACTGGAAACAGTGACACCACTACATTTATGTGTAAACTATACTATTTTATGGTACAAAGTGTGAAAGGAAGGTACAAACTGTTGCTTGTGAATTTTAAATGTAACTTTTTCCCCCACCAGATTTTAGATATCTGGATTTTATTTCAGACCCGGTTGTACAAGGAGGCAAAAGCATGCATTGTATTTAATTTGTTGCACCAACTGAATAATGAGGGCTGAGTAAAGGTAAATACAAGAGCAGTGATTATATACTCTCAAAATAAGGACATTGATTTGGTGAAACCATTTATAGCAATATAACCATTGGGCCAATGCTATTTTAGTAATAATTTTAATAGCTTATATCTCACCTGTGTCACAGGGTTTAGTAACAGATGTTTCACTACACATTCACTGCAATGTTCAGGTCATATTTATTTTGCAATGAATACAGGCGGATTTACTGACTTTCCTGTTTTGACCGCATTAAACTATTTGCTGCATGCATTGTGTTTGAAAATACAGCTATTATATATATATTACCCATGTTTTCTAAATTAATTTGCATTGTGGATATAGTCTTTTTATTTGAATGTATGCCCCTTAAATTTCTAGGTGATGAGTGTTTATCACGATTGAAATGAAAATCTCTACATACATTTACAGTATTTACCCTAATATAAAATGGAAGATTACAAGATTTGAAATATTCAAAATCTTTATATATGTCAAATTGGAGAGAATTGCGTATTTTTTATGCGGGGAAGGACCCCATGCCTCTTGTTCTAATTGTTCTCCCCAGAATTTTAGCTTGCATGACACCCCTGTTCAGTCACACAACTAAAGCGACCTAACAGATACACAAAGAGAGACATATAGAGAAGAATGGACTGTGACTGGGACCTGCAGCCATTGTGTCCTAATACAATATCTGACTTCCTTTAGATGCCAGACGCCACAAACACACACATGCACATACATAAGAGTTGAATAGCAGGCAGGGAGGCACCAGGCCCACTTCCTCTGCTGCAGATGTAGACGATGGAGAGAGGGGGGGAGGGAGAGAGAGAGAGAGAGAGAGAGAAGGAGGCTGGTACAAACTTAAGTCTCACACATATTTCAGTTCAGACCTCTGGACACAAACTGCTCTCATCAGTCTGCTGCTGTGACTGTCTCACTGACAACTCAACTGAATGAACTCTCTGGCTGTCTGACTCTCCACTCAGAGCCTGAAGCTGTACACATTTTCAGATTCACAACACAAACTTTTTACTAGAGGAAGAGGAAGTAATACCTTAAATAACCGGAAAGCATCTGGAAGTCTTCTGCTGCTGGCCGTTGAAGATCAGTGGACAGGGAAGAAGTGCGGGAAAAAAGAGCCTTGCTCAAAGGCACCTCAACAATAGCTGCTGAGGAAGAGAAGAGCAACCACTAACTTTCTCAGGCTAACTGCAATTCCCTGCTTTGTATCCTAAATCAGGTAAAATACGTGTATGCGTCAAGTGTACAACTTGGTCTTCACTAACTTGCTAAATAAGTTTCAAGTATTTTTATTTGAGCTTTCACCTGTTATTTGAAACATTGAAAGCGTCTCTGAAACAGCCAATGGTGTGAATGTAAGTAAATAGTGTTAGGCCTATAAATGAAGTTTTTACAACAAAAGATAGATTTCTAAGATAGAAAAACCATCACGGGGTTGACAGGCAGAGTTGCTGTGGTCAAGAAGGAGCTGCTGTCATCATAAGCAAAGTAATATCTAATATTTGACTAAAGACCAACTTAATTTCCTTCAGGACTGTGACAGACAGGAGGACAGATAACAAAAGGTTCTAATAAGTTTAATAAGGCATCATAAGCAATTTCATCTAAAGTTCTTCAACTTGTCCCTAAAACACATCATCAATTTCATTTTCAATAGCCTCTCAGAATTTAACTTTTCAGGAATTAGCGTAAGGAAAACAGTCTAGTGCGGGTGTCTATGAAAGAGCTTTAGTGAGTAGAAAATGTTCTCAACCCTCAAATTTAAAGTTAAAGATGGAAATGTTTGATTTATTTGTTGGTATTGTCAACTCCTCTTTCTTTGTTCCTGTCACATTTTTATCTTGTTGACCTTCAATTGTGGAAGATTAATAGTGTAAGTTATAAATAAAGTTTATTATCAGACTTAAAACATCCTCAGGTCTGAGCAATGTCAACGGTTTATCATCTATTATTGTGAACCAGCAGAGGAAAGAGAGACAGGTCCTTTGTGTGTGTGTGTGTGCATTTGTGCCTCTGTGCCCGTTATCAAGACAGGATGCAGAACAATACTGAGTGCTGGATAATGGGCACACATACACACACTAACACATGCACATGCACGCAAAGGTCAGGAGAAAGTCTATACAAGGAAGTAATATTGTTATTAATGATGCTGGGAGCACTTGTGAAAAGCATAAATACACAAACCAACACACACACACACACACACACAGTTTGCTCAAAGACTGGGCTTCACAAAAACAGGAAGGGAAGGGCATTTAATAAATAAGAGAATATCAGAGAAAATCCCATATCTGATTTTAAATTCTCTCAAGATGTGCTTTTTGCATCTGAAAATCTGACGGTTTACACAATTAATCTTCAGAAGCAGACTGTAAAAACTGAACGCTGCAGTAAGAAGATTAAAAGTAGATAACATGAACATAGAAAAGACAGACTAGCAGGATGCAGTACATCACTAAACATGTGCTCCCCCGACTCAAAAATCTGTTTCTAATAATCTACCCGACGCTGCCATCTCGTGCCAAAGAGATCGTGCATCTGAAGAGACTTCCTGGTTGAATAAAATTTAAATAGAGTAAAGAAAATAAACTATCTTAAAAATTCGACCTGCAGCTAAAAGGGAGCAACACCTCCTTTTCAAATGGGAAGGGCTTCATAAATATATTGCACCTTATCGCATCTACTTTGCATCTTATGCAATGCATGTAACCTTTTAGTCCAAACAAATCCCATACAACTATAAAACAAATCTATGTCATTGTTAAAAGGGACTAGATTTAGCAGTTTCTAGTAATAGTAATAGTATGGGTTGCATATTGAAGTTTCCCTGAAGCAATGAGTGACTAATAACAAAAAACTATGTTGGATTATCTATCTCAGAAAACTTTATAAACTCTGCAGGTTCATCTTTATACCATAAAAGTTATAGTAAAAAGTATAGTTCCAAGACTTGTTGTCACTTGTTGTCAATACTGTCATTGTATTGTTTTTTTAAAGAGAAAAAGATATGCGTAGTATGCGTATGTAAACATACACATCCATATCCACAGTGACAGAAAAAAGGACAGAGACAGACTGTGTGTTTACAGTAGACGTCTAGTTTTCCTTCCCCAGGGACAGACGGAGGGGGGTGTGGGAACTGAGGGCGAAGCTAAACTAAGACATGGGCACAGACATTTTTATTAATGGGGTCAGGGCCGGGGTTGAGAGAGGGTCACAGGGTCAGGATAATACCAGAACACACACATACACGCACTTGCTAACCACAATCACACACCAAGCAGTCTGATTACAGCTACAACCAGTACACACTTTTCCATCCATATTTAAAGCAAATTGCTAGAAAAATGGCAAAAGAAAATGTAATGATTCCCTCCAGACAAATAGTTTGGTCATCAGTAACAGAATAATTCTGTTACTGATGACCAAACTATTTGTGTTGTCACAAATCATGCTTGTAGGCCGCACCCCTTAAAAATCTTATTTTCAATTTGCAAAGACAAACTTCTCACTTTCAGCAGCTGAATGTGAAAACATCCTTCTACTATCAAATTCTGCACAGACATCGTTCTGCACAGTGGAGATCAAACACCACACTGCAGGAACAAGAAGAAAATCTGATTTTTGAGTGGAGGCGGACTTTATTAATGTGCCTTTCCATCCACTGTTGTTAATAATTGTTAGTTCATGGAGATAAACTGTTGGTGGCCATTAAACAATTAATATCAATATACTGATCATCACACATCTCATATATCTTCATATTGTGCAGCACTATAAAAAATAAAACTCATGTAAAGCCAAAAATCCAGAGAGCTGTATTTGAGTGTGAGTCACATTGATATTCTATTAGATGTAAACAGATGTAAAGTTAAATGTAACATGTTAAAAGGTTTTACTGAAAGCAATCTGGGAAATAACTAACTTAAGCAAGCGGAGACAAAAGGAAAAGGAGAAGGGAAAATAGATGCACCAAAAACATAAATTAAGTTTTACACAAAATAAATTCCAAAATATACATCGGCATAAGAGTGTATACAGGCAGAGTAACATGGCTGAAGACGTTTTCATGGACATTATAACCTCATACATAAAACTTGTTGTTATTTGTTAAAATAAACCACCACTAACATTAGAAGACGCCTAATTGCAACAAATGACACCTGACTCTGCTGCAGACATAAAACCTGTGTGCGTGCTCTCTGTTCCTCAGGTGATTCCTGAACCTGCAGAGCTGAGAGACAACCAGTGGGCGAGTTGAAAGATCTGTGCTGAGCTGTAATCAGTCATGGCAGACTGGAGCTTGCTGGGAAACTTCCTGGAGGAAGTGCAGGAGCATTCTACCTCTGTTGGCAAAGTATGACACACTGCACACATACACATACATGTACACACTGCACACATTGCATGCCAGCCAGCACGGCACCAGTTTGACTTCCTCTGCACATGCTGGAAAAAGGTAAACAGCCATAAACCTGCTCAGAATAGAACATTAATATATTTCCTAATCATCCTGTTTATTCTGCGTCTCCTGACTTATGGTTTCTAATAATATGCAGATATAAAGTTTATGTCTGAATAGGTCTGTTTGTTTACATTGTAGAACCGCTGAAGAAATCATAAGGGTGGTAAATACATGGAATTAATAGCTGAACTGAGACACATGGGCTTATAACACTGCATTATGTAAGAACTCGACATTTTCCTGTGTTTTGTAATAAATTATTACATATTGTGGTGGTTATTACAAAACACTTTTTATGATGAAAATGTACTAATATGGTGCATTATGTAACAATTAACCTAAATTAAACTTAGACTCCTTTAACCTGTGGTGTCCCCCTTGGTGTTATAGTTGACTCTGATCTTGGTCTAAATAGCCACATAAAAGCTGTAACAAGCTCTGTTATCATTTTAATACAGCCAAACTCAGGGACCTGGAACCTGAAAAAACAAATTCACGAGTTTATGAGTTGACTGCTACAGTGGTCGTTTGACAGGGCCCCCCAAAAAGAAAAGTGCCACTCCCACATAATAATTTATTACAAAATGTGGGAAAATGCATTTCATATTTGGTTCAGGCTGTTAATTACAAAATGCTGCAGATTGTTGGAATATTTTGGTTTTTGGTTATTGCATCATGAAGCAAAGAATTTAGTGTAATTACATTATGTTTTGTTATAAGGCCACAACAGTAAGTGTGGGTCATATTTATTGAAGAACATTTATTAAAACTCAAAAAGAAAAGGAGAGGAGAGATAGTCTTACCATGTTCAAACAATAAAAATGCTAAAATGAACATGAAACATAACTGATGATAAAAACCACAGGTTTGGATTAGTGGAAGCCCCAAGTGTACAGAACAACAGTCTCAGCAACATGAAGGAGAACACAAAGCACCATGTGTGAGCGTGGGCCTCTTTATTAGTTTGTGGCTCTTATCTGATTGGCTAATACCCCCTGCATGGGTCCTACTGTTCCCCTGCTACAATAAGTCTTAAAATATTTTTTTAATTTATATAACTCCCTCTAAAAAAAACATCAATAACTATCCATCTTATCTTAAGCTCATATTAGATAATCGTGAGTCCCTGAATAATTGTCACTAAATCATTCCTCCCCATTGCATTATTTAACTTTTAACCCAGCGGTAGCATTCATTTCAACTTTATTATCCCTCACTATGGAAACAAAATACATGAGATGAATAATTGTAAATGTAAAATCAGTAAGACATTGCTCAATTAAAACCTTCGTGTAATGGACATTTCAGTCATTCAATCAGGTAGACAGTGCTCCTGCAAATCTACACGCTTTATAACATTTTTCAATTTTATTATTATTATTTAATAGTTCTTCTTAAACAAAAACTCCTCATTACCTCCTTATTTCCATACATTATCTCCTATATTTCCATTGTTTCTGAGGGTTTGATATATATTTCTGTTTGTTGCTCCACAGGTGTGGCTGACCATCCTGTTTATCTTCCGTATCCTGGTACTCGGGACTGCAGCTGAGTCATCATGGGGAGATGAACAGGAAGATTTCGACTGTGACACTGGACAGCCGGGTTGCGAGAACGTTTGTTATGACCAAGCCTTCCCTATAGCACATATACGATACTGGGTAATGTACACAACTTAATGCCATGTGATAAGATTAAAACAGAGACAAAATGATGACTGTGGGGAAATAATAGGTATATCATTTGAATTAAAGGGCCGTATTAGTTGTGATGACTGTCAACTTCAGGTCACATGGTGTCGCTCACCAATTTTCACAGCAGATTTTTAAGATTGATACGTTCTTTCCTTGCAGCTAAAGACATTTTTTCACAGCAGCAATTTTTAAATTACATAGTAGGTGTTATCAATGACATTAATTAAGGCTCCATTCTATTTCAAGCAGCTGAGCCTTCCCAGTGTACCAGCATGCACCCTGACTCTGTTTGACCTGAATGGAACGGAACCTTAATTAATTAACATTGGTTATACCTGTGTTTATTCTACTATTTCAAATGGGCTGCTGTTTAAAATGTCTATTGTTCTCTTTTCATTTCGGTACAGAAAATGTACATGTTTGTTTGTTTTTATCTAACATTAAGTCCTTTTTTCTATGTTTTTTCAAATGCTAAATGAAGTTGCAAGCATTATAATAATTAAAAAATGGATGTAGTCTTCACAATGTCAGCCGTAATTTACTGAAGAGCCGTTGAGAAGCTCATTGTGCTCAGCTCTGGCTGTCGCCATCTTGGCAGTCCTGACTCCACCCAGGCTCTCCAGATAAATCCAAAACATTGGGTGGAGAGAAAAGAAAAAGAAAAAGAGGTGGAGCTGGATGGGCGGGCTGAATGAAGCCTGGTCTGAAAACTGCTGCAGTAAAATTATAGTTAGTTGCTTACATGTTCCAAAATTGTTGGTTTAGTCCTTTAATTTTCTTTGATTCAACTGATTTTAAGTGTAAATGTTACTGATCTTCTTCCAGGTGCTCCAGATCGTGTTTGTGTCCACTCCCAGTCTAATCTACATGGGCCACGCCATGCACAATGTACGAAGAGAGGAGAAGAGAAAGAGCAGAGAGGAGGAGGGAGGAGATGAGGAAGGGAAAGAGGACGACCCAGGAGGAGGTGAAGGTGGAGGAGAGGGAGAGAAACAGGGGAAGAAAGGCGAGAAGGACGGAGGAAAGGAAAAAAGAGAAGGTCTATCAGGAGGTCGAATCCGCCTCAGGGGAGCGCTGCTACAGACCTACGTACTTAGTATTCTGATACGAATTATCATGGAGGTACATGCTACTGTTACTGCTAATGTTAGCACTTTTAAAGGCTCTTAAAGGTCCACTGTGTAACATTTAGGAGGATCTATTGGCAAAAATTAATAAAATATTCATAGCTATGTTTTCATTAGTGTATAATCACCTGAATATAAGAAGACACATATTTTCTGTTTCCATTTTCTTGTCAAAGGTTACATTGTTATGTTTTCTTATAGAATACACTTACATTAATATTTCTTATTGCAATTTATTTTCTTTCATTTTTGTTTGCATATTTGCTGTTGAGGTAATGCAAAAGTAATCAGGATACATCACTTTAATATTGTGATACTTGGATTAGGTTACTGACAACATTTTTAATAGATAAATAGTCATTGTATCAGATTGTGTTTTTAAAGTGTCCCTCCCAACCTGACAAAAATATAATAACAAAAACCTATATAACACACTAAAGCACTGCAGGGAAAATAATATGGCCTCTTTAAATACTTCTTCCATTACTGCATAAGGTTTATAGTAAATGAGTACGTGACTGTGACTGGACTTCCACACAGGTGGTGTTTCTGTGTCTCCAGTACTTCCTGTATGGAATCTTCCTCAATCCTCTGTATGTCTGCAAGGTAAACCCAGAAATTAAAACCATTTTTTACTCATTCTAAATTTAAAACATGATACTGAGGTCTACATGCATATTCTCTCCCTCCCTCTTTCTCAGGCTTGGCCTTGTCCACATCCAGTAAACTGTTATGTCTCCAGACCAACAGAGAAAAATGTCTTCATAGTGTTCATGTTGGCTGTGTCGGCCGTATCTCTGGTTCTCAGTGTGGTTGAACTGCATCACTTGGCATGGAGACACTGCTGCAGGTAGGAACTGTGTGTGGCTTGTTCATTGGCTTGAATTCACTGCTAATTTACTGGTTGCTTCAGGATTTCCAAAGGTCTTGTTTTCCTGCTTTTGTTGACTAGATTTTCTCCAGTTGTTCTCCAAGACAGAGATCTGGCTTCAAAAGATTATACAGTTTTAAATTGATTTCCTATTTTACTGTTTACTGTTTACTGCTTTTAATTACTGTTTGTGCTTTGACCTTAAACCAACTCGCAGTTTTAAGACATATCTGAGATATTTGGTCAAATTTACAATATCAAGCTCAGTATTTGTGGCTCTTTTGAATATGGACATTGAGAATGTCCATATTCACTTATTGTATTTGAGCACTATTCGGTCTGGGATAACAGTTGTGTTAATGTTGTCTGTGGCTCTGGTGAAGCTTTATATAGTCTGAGAAAATACAACTGATTATGTTATCATTATAGTCTTGGATTGGGCATTGGAATTTATAGCTGGGGGCACAGAGTTTAAAGACATGGGCATTTAGCAGGCAGCGATGGTGTAACACAGGGGTCAGCAACCTTTACTATCAAGAGAGCCATTTTTGGCCAAAAATGAAAGATCTGTCTTATCTGGAGTCTTATAATGCTAATTTCTCACCGCAGATCAAGCACACCAGTACGCCAGCAGCATTGCTGGTGCAAGAAAAGAAGTCTGTTCACACAATATTACATTTTCCTTTCTTCCCCAAGACTTTTCTTTTTCTGTATTTGGAATCCATAGCTAGTAAAGCTAGGGAGACTCAAGACTAGTAGCCACGCTATTGCGGCAACATATAGAGGAAAAAGTGCCAGGTCAGGACGTAAGGTATGATTCACATTTTAGCTGATGACATGTTAAAAAGATTCTCTTTAATCCCACAAAAATGAAAAGGTTAAAGAATAAGCATTATTTCTTTCCATATAATATTTATTAAAGCCACAGGGACCCACTGGAGACGGGCTGAAGAGCTGCATGTGGCTCTGGGGCCACATGTTGCCTATCCCTGATCTAACATACAGATAATGTTAGTCGCATTGATGCAGGACCCAGCTTGAACCATACAGGGACTGAAAATCAGGATCTCTAGGTGCCTGCTGCATCCATTTTGATCATTCTTTTATATAATCTAGGGATGAACCGATACATCAGCTATGGATTTGTATTGGCAAGAATCTGGCGATTCAATATATATTACGATACAGGGGTTACAATTCAATATACTGTGAGTTTAAAAAAATTGAAAACAGTGTGATATCCATTTGTATTAATCACATTCACTGCTATCTAGTGGTTGGTGCTTCAACAAAAATCGATGCAGTGTTTTTGAAAATCAATATCACAGAAAATGTAATCTGTTTCTTTGCATCCACCAACTTTATGGAGGTACAAAATGTAGTTGTAGGAGTATATCCCTTTAACAGGCTAAAAGATGAAGAACTACTGATATGATTTTAGTGTGAGGACATTTTCATTAAGAGGTCCTTCTGATTTGTTTGTTTGTCACTTCAGACCAGTTTAAGGTAGGGATAAGATTATGTTGTGGTCAACAGTGAAAGGTATTCAAATGGATTGAAAAATAGGGATTTGTGTATAGGCAGTGGTGTATGGGCTCTTTGTATTTGTCCTGTAGGATTCGATGTAAATAAGAAAAACTTTGGCAACGTACATTTCCCACACTTAGAGTCCTGCAACTATTTTAAGCCTTCAGTGATTCAATTTTTACTTCCTGGAAGTAAACATAAACCGTGTGAGAAAAAAACCTTGTAAGACTGAAATGACTGCCAACTTCTCAAGGGAATGAATAGCCAACTTTAAGTAAGTTAAGTAGTTTAAGTTTAAATCAGACTTCCTTGCAACACAAGAGTACATAGCATTGTTTCACAACCTCTATTGCAGGTCATGGTACAGTTTAAATATTATGTTTTCAATTCTAATGGTGACTACTTCATGGTGGTATTATATCCGTTAAATGTCTAAAACTGTTCGTTGCAGGCAGTTGCTCTTCAAAAGGAAGGCCGCCACCGCTGCTAACGCCTCGCTGGCCCGACAGCTCTCTTTGCCTCCTCCTCTGCCGCCATCAACCCCACCTCCAGACTTCAACCAGTGTGTGATTGGCTCCTCACACTTCCTGCCCATCCCTTTCCCCAACCACCGTCTGGCTAACCAACAAAACACTGAGAACATGGTCACAGAGAAGAACAAAATGGCCACTGCCGTGGACGAGGTAAACATCCTTCAGATGAGCTGCTACTCGCCTGGATGGCAGGAGACTAGTAACAATCAGATCCAAGATGGTGGATACCTGAGGACCGACACTAACTTCTACAGCCCTGGGAGCAGGGAGATCAGCTGCCTTCAAATCCAAAATGGCGGACCAGACAAGCTGTTGCTTAGTCCGAATGAAGGGCTCTGTCAGAAGGACAAACGAAGATTCAGCAAAACCAGCGGAACGAGCAGCCGAACAAGAGCAGACGACCTCTCTGTTTAGAAAGAAAGCAGAAAGCAGGCCGATTTAACTCCTCACACATGCTAATTAAACATACTTGACCCTTTGAACACAAAAGTGTTTTGCACAAAAGCTATGTGCACATAGCTCTAGACAGCTGGAGGAATCAGAGTCTAACGCTGATTTTCTTTTTTGTCTTGAATGCCATTAAAATGAGTGACTCCACTCCACTCTGCTACTTGATTAGGAGACAGTTCATTCAGACTTGCTTCCCTTAACAGACACAAAATGGAGTGCTCAAAGATTGCACTGAACTCCTGACTGAAAATAATCGGATGTTGAGTGTTCAGATTGCTGTTTAAATGTGTTTTAAAGCCAAAAAACCAAACAGTATATGTAGAGTCAGTGCACATTCATCTGGAGAGTCATGTTTAACATCAAATATAAACACAGACAATCCTTAAAAATTGCTCCTACTGTGATTGTGATCAGATAGTGATGCGTTCACCAGAATCTGTTACCTTTTGAAAAGATTATATTGCACCATTTGTCAGGGACATGTTTTTGCACAAACTTTTATACTAGATCATCAGCTATAATGATGTATCACATTTTATCTCTGTTTATGGGAGCTGATTTTTGGTGACAATATAGTTGCCCATCATTCTGAAGGACTCGCAATTGCTACAATTTAATGCAAATGTTCTCTCTAAAGGACGATTTATGACAAATGTTATTCTTCTCAGAGTTTTTGAGAGAAACAGCTAATGGGATAACTTGGGTCTGGTGTTAATCTATAGTTTTTACCACAGAGGAAGTCACAACAATGGGGGTGTCAAGCAACACAACCCAAGTTTAACCTGTGGACTGAACTCACTGATTTACTGGCTGGCATTTACTATTGTTGGACAGACTTCTTCTGGACTGACTTCTTCATTTTACAGTGAAATAATGGGAACTTAACTGGTGTAACTTAATTTACTGTTACTGTTATTAGCACTCAGCATCAGAGAAAAGTTTTGTTTGTCATTATTTTCACTGTATAACCAAGAGTCTAATCTGTTTGGGCTTGATTGAGTTTTCACTGCAGCTGGGTCTGTTTTAGCCCATCTGGATGCAGATGTTGGTCCAGCCGTTTCATCAGTGGACATGAAGATAAAGCACAAAGGCTGATTGCATCTTAACACCAGCATATTTTTACAATTTCTTGACTATTTAACAGCTGTGTTTTCATTTCTCATATATGCCTATATATGTTAGTGACACCCTAGTCACTTTGGCTGACCACTGGTGAGTTTCTACTGCACTGTATTATGGTAATTTCACAGTATGGCTATAAATCTATCTGAACTGAAACACAATGGACTACAATCTCTATCTGAAATGAAGGTTGTAGATTTTGTTTGCAGATTGTATTGTAGCTTAATGTTTACTAGAGCACAAAAAAATCCAAATATCATTAGGTGATTACTACTATCAATGATCATTTTAAATGTGTGCACATTTCCTGTATTGTACTTTTATATTTATTATTGTACTTCAATAATGTGAATTCTGTATGTTTAAAAAGCTTTGCAGATAAAATTATGAAAAACCTGTTTGAGTCTGTTCTTTCTCTAAAAAGTTGTAACTGATAGGCAACTTGTCAAAATGCAGTGTTGTTTATATGATGTGATGATAAAACTGATGTCTTTCACCTTGATTGATTTACAGCATGTCAAACTCAGAAGTAGATACTGCTCTCTGCTGTTCAAAAAGTGTATCACCATTCATTTTTCATCTCATTGATTTGAATCTTTTCATATTTGCCTCTGGATATATCATTATATTCCTGTATGATGGACACAGTAAGTGTCCTAGCAAGCCATGGCTGTGTGACAGTGAGCCAGTATGCACAATAATATGAAGCTGAAACTGAAGCAGCTAAATGAAATTCAGCCATTAGGTTCCCTAATATTACTAATATAATGTAATGTGGTTACGCTGGAAAAGTCTGATCAACACTGAATTTTAGAATTAAATGATCAGACAATCTGATCGCTGGATTTCTGGCATGTCAATATTTTTTGTCTGCAGTTTGAGCAGTTCCTGGGTCCAATATCCCTAATGACTGCTGCCAATCGATCCACTATGAATTGTCAGTATTTGGATCAAATAGCTCATAAAAATAAGATATCTCAGATTGATAAGAGCTGTTATTTTAAGGGGTCCGATACATATTTGTAATTATTGGATTGAACTGGGTATCAAGCGGTATCAACAGACTCTGATTTCAGATCCTTGGATAACGATCAGGGCCAGAAAACTACACAGGGATTTCCCTATGGACCAGTAATAGTGTCCTGAATCTGCATACTGTAATTCAATTCAGTTTTAGTTAGCTAAAGTTAGCCAGCTATCCAAAAACAATGATTGCATCAAGTTTGTATGAGAGAGAGTATAGGTCAAGAAGACATGGGTAAATTGAACGACTATAATCATTTGATTATATTAATATAAAGGAATTAATTACGTAATTTGTGGGCACCACTAACTGCTGCAAACCCTCTACTCATCTTTAACAATCTGCTACAATAATTTGAGATACCATAAAGTGATTTGTGAAGTTTGAAGGTACAGATATTTGATTTGTTCACATACTTTTAAATATAAATTCCTTTTAATATGTGTAGTTCATTGCCTGAAACTTGAAGGCCTCTTATAATTTCACTCTTGATCGACTGTCTTTCTAACAAAAGAACTGGACAAGAAAGAACTTCAGTGATGGACAGACAGACATCAAAACAGTCAGAAAGTTGGCAAGATAGGGATAGTTTAGAAAGGGGGCTTTTAAAAAACATCTTCCCTGATTCCCATGGCTAACATCCAGCTTGGAACAGGGGCTGATGGGAGAATAACCAGTAAGGTCATCTGAATACATCAGGAATGTTTGGGAACTATAACACTGAGGGTTTTCTGTTTTCCTTCCCATCTGTGGAAGCCATGTTGCGGCATGGGCAAAATATATATATGTGAGGACAAGGGTACCCTCTTGTGGCCAAATATATACCTGCAGCACTAAAATGACCACATATAAGAAAACACTAAATATGTTTTAATATTAGTCCACGGGTGGTGTTTTTCCAACAGTAACAACACCAGGAACTCAAAAACTAGTTGAGCATGGAGTCATGAATGAAACAGTTCAGTCAGACACATTGAATTGAAATAATTACTACAGTACATTTAAAAGACTACAGTAGTACCCGTAGTTCATCATGATGTATAAAAATGTGTCCAAATGACTAGTAATAAAGCATGGTCATAAGTACAACAGGCTATAAGACTGGGAATGGTGGTACCATAAAAAATATTTCCCCAAACAAGTTTGACAAACTTATGTTTTGAGTCGCTTGATAATGTATATAATAACACACAATGTACCGAAAAAACATCAGATAAACCTCATACTGTCAATTATCTCAGGCCAGACTGTCTAATTAGACTACACTGACCCTAGCCTCTCTATGGTGTTAAGCATGCACAGTGGGGTTTTAGAGGGGAGCTGGAGATTGAGCTGATAATTCTCTGTAGGTTAATCACTTTGAACGACCCCTGTTAGATTGTTCTTTATTTAAAAACTCAATTATACCGCTTTTAAGGTTAGGAATTAGGGTCCTCACACGTACAGAAAGACAAATATGTGTGTGTGTGTGTGTGTGTGTGTGCGTGTGTGTGCGTGTTGTTTGTTGACAATAATGTTGTGACCTCATAATGCCTCACCTGACTGAAGATATAGTATGTCCTTGTATTGTCTTTGCCAACATGTCATGCATCTTGTGAGCCTCTGTCACAACCACGGCCTCCCCCCGGAACACACACACACACACACACACACACACACCTGTTTCTAATCCATAATCCTGCATTTGGGTCATATGTCAGCTGTATTTATATCTCAAAGGGGAGACCCTTGTTTACAGCTGCCTGTCAGTGTGTGTGTTTGTGTGTGTGCCTGGTTATGTCACTCTCTATAAATGTCACCACAAATTACAAACACAAACTAATATTGTCATTTATGATATGTGTATGAAATATATCAAATCTAGGATACACACATTTAACACACTTTCACCTGTGATATACTTAAAATGTGTTGATATTCTTGATTTCCAGTCAATACACAATACAGTCATGTAAATGTCGCTTACAACATCACATAATTTGCGCTTTTGTCCTTGAGCACAAACATGTCACAACATGCATTTTATTGTGAAACACCCACATGGACCACCAGGGTTCACTAAGTCACTGTGAGTCTGAGACATAGCTGCTGAGATTTTTGGTCTGATAACGCCTCCTTCATTTTAACTGCCCACATAAAACTATTCTTTCTTCCTTATTTAATAGTCAACTTTGTGCTTAGGGCTCCTTCCAACTGGAAAAATATTACCTACAACTATTAATTTGCCATCTTCATTTGGCTTATCTAAAAAAAAATGTATTCTCTCATCCTAATTCAAATTCCATGTGTTTTCTGTAGATGCTATCCTTGATTATTTCCTTATAATGGCCCGGCTAGTTGTTCTTGCATATGGCTCCTCTTGTAAAAGGAGATTATACAACTCAAGGGTTTCATCCTGATATAATGAATTTGACTAAAGCACATTGGTCACTTAGAGGGCGGCCATAGCATGCTTTCCTGCCTTTACCTGTCCTTGGTTCACCCCTGCTTTCCAGGTAGTCTTCGTTGCCTTGCTGACATTACTACCTTTAGTTGTGCCGGCTGTCTGTTGCCACCTGTTGATCCTTGCCTTCCTCTTTCTGCCTGTGAGCTCAACTAAACTGTGTCTGGCTCCTATTTCCTGAGTTATGTGAGCTGTGTTCTTTTGTCTTTCATTACAAAAGTGTCAGTGTTACAAAATGCATTTTATCATGTCATACCCACTTTGACCACCAGGCGTTACTAACTCCCCATGAATCTGTCCTTCATGGTGGTGTTTCTTTACATTCTTCATATTACACAGATATAACAGAGGCCTCTAAAGGAAAAATACATTTAAAACCAATGTGATCAGCTACTTTATAGATAGAATAAACTGCACGTATGGCTTTTCCCATATGGAAGAAACAGTGCAGTTATATAAATCCGAATGTAATTAGAAGGAAGAGAGTAATTCTTAGCTCTTTATCTTAATTATGGTTTTGTGCAAATTAGATCCTCATATATTTTCATTACTTTACAGCCTAACAGCACAAACACCTCAATGTACTCAGCCTTCTGTAACTAGGCAGTGTGCAAGCAGATTGTTTGAAGACAGACCCAGACAGATCCAGTCCACGTCACCGCACGTCACTGAGCTTTGATCGGTGGGAGAACGTGACTAGATGCAGGACCTGAGCTGCCCTCACTTGGCTCAGTTCCTAGAAAGACTTCATGAACAGTGAAAGATTATATAACATGATGCAGTATACAACAGGGTGTGGCTCTCAGAATATGACTTAAGTCCAACTAAGCCAGAAGTGATTTGTATTTACACAGGACAAAGGGCCAGAACATTTCATTTTCAGGGGCTGTATTCCATATCTAATCTGCTGTAAGGTATTTAAACAGGAAACAATTAAGACACCAAATTGTTTTTCCTGTTCAAACAGTAATTAGTGGACTGGCTTCGCCACATTCAAAATGCCAGAATCAGTCTAGACTGAAGTTTAACATATACTGGTTTGATAGAAGTGAAGACACTAAAGCAATTCTAAGGTGGACTAAAGTTAATGGTTTTAGAAAATATGTAACAATTTGGGGTAATTTTCCCCTTCAATAAATCTATTAAAATTCAATACAGCTGCAGAGATAATTGTAAATTGGTCTGGTCTTGACTGAAGATAATAATTGAGCAAAAACATATTTTATTTGTAAGGAATTTAAAAGTGTATACTACATTTTCACCAGTTTTCTTTATACTCTTTCACCTTGTGTCATTCCAGAAACTGAAAGAATATGCAGCATTTGGTATCACCGTTCCTTTAATTAATGTTTAAATAGAAACCACTGTTAAACCTGCAATAACTCCAGAGAAACAATTGTAGAATTGGTCTGCTCTTGACTGAAGTTGAGCCAACTTTGAATTTTATCACCACTGTTGCTTAAAATGAAGAGACAACCAGTCGGGTTTACATTTCTGGACGTGTTCTTTTAATTGCTCCTGCATCCATCCTGTCCACAACATAGCTACCACATTATATTATTATTTAAGTGCATACAGTATTGCTGTGCACACCGAGAGTGAGCAGTCCCATCACAACATTGTAGATGCAGTCTGTCAGATTACAGTAAAATAAGTTAAAACTACACTCGTTCAGGCCTGTGAAACCAGGTAAATAACACATCGCTCTGTCCCTCCAGATGGTGCCCTTGATGTTTTAATATACACAATACAGTAGCTCCACAACATTGGTAGGCATGGTGACAGTATGCCAGCTGATTTCACACTGCAGGGATCTCAGCATGGTGGTGGTTTTGAAGGCAGTAATACATATTCACACCCCCACAATTCTTAGCTGCAAAGAGGCAGATAACAGTGAGACACCGTTAGCACAATGTTACAAAAACCTGTACATACTCTGATGACTGGCAGCAGGTTAAAAACAGGAGCTCAGAGGGGCTGTGCTTCAACAGATCTGTCAGGAGTCGTACAATGCAACACCAGGTTTTGTTCGGACGTTTAAGAGGACAAAAAATTCAATGTGTGGAATCTGAAGAGCTCAGCAAGTATGTCACAAATTTACCATCAAAAATCCCAGGATTTTCCAACCTGTCTCACGCTGATGTACCGAATATTAGATTACTTTTTCAGTTATAGTTTTAAAAGTGAGGATGGTGGATGATGGCGAATGGCTCCACTAGAGAAAGAACTGGACAAGTGTTGTCATGGAAAACAGAATGGGTGACAGGTCAGGCAACCTATCATGTTAGATATTTTAAATAATGGGATTACTCTTTCGTCTCAAAGAGTCAGAGTAGTACACAGACAAAAAAATAGAATAGTTTTATGTTTAGCCACTTGAACAATTGTTCACACCCTGACCTTAAAGAGGAAGTAACACTTGCTGTGAACTCACAAGTGCTTCTTTTCAAACCCTAGACAACATAAATTAACCGTATGTACAAATGACTAAACATAAAACCATAGATTTACCATGTGCAATCCTACAAAACAAAAAAATACAATAAAATGACATTAAATATTCTGTTTTTTGATGACTACTTCATGATGTTGCCGATTTAAGGTATGCAATGAGGTCCTGGCGCTCTCCCTTCTTCTTGATTCCAGCGAAGATCATTTTGGTTCCAGGAATGTACTTCTTGGGGTTCTCCAGGTACTCCATCAGGGTGTCCTCACCCCACACAATACCTGGGAAAAGACAGATAATCAGTGATGAAAGCAGGGTAAGTGATTTAAGCAAGGCAACTGGCAGGACCTGACCTCCAATCTAAAAGGATAAAACATATCTGCGGCCAAACTTCCACCAATTATCTTTTAAAGCCTTAAGTATAAACTGCAGATCTTTGAGCAGGTTGTTTGAAAAATGAAGACTTCAAACACATTTTAAATATAATATTATAATATATTAAAACATTAAAGTATTGGCCAACATCCATCATTTATGCCTTTTTTGTAATCAGAAGTAGCGTGCATTAAACTATTCTTCAAATAGCCTAAAAGGGGAATGTTTACATGTTAATTCAATCAATCTCTGCTTTGCTTCTAGTGGCATTAACTTGACAGAACATTTTAATAATCTTGTTGACGACGCCCCCCCTCATTGTTTCCATGTTTAAAGGTAGAGGGTTATCATTAACCACTTGTGAACTGCCTTTACTCGTTGTTGGCTGATCTGCTGTACGAGTAGCCCTCTGGCCTGCGCCCGGTCTTGGTCTCGACAGACCACAGGAGGTTTGGGGCCCACATTTGTGATTGCCACCCTCCTCTACTGTGTGTCACTGGAGCCAGCACTTTCTGGGGACAACGCCTACACTTCTGGACGAATGCCTTCTTTCCTTTGGCAATGTCTCCCATAGTCAGCTGGAGAAACATAAAGTCAGAAGTAGAATTATTACACATTGTTGGGAGGGTGCGAGAGGGACATGGATTAGTTGTGTATCATCATTTTTATGTTCCTTCTGAGAAGGAACGACTGTATGTGGTGGCAATCTAACGAATAAAGAGTATTAAAGAAGTAAGTCCAGTTGTAGTAATATAAATCAGAATCCTATCCCCTCTCTGAATAAGGATTTGTGGGAGTTTACATCCATATATTAAACTGCTCATTTTCTATTCATAGACTGTAGTTATTACAGCAGGAAGCTCGTTCACTTCTCCAGTCTGACCGGCGCCATCTTGTGAAGGTCGTTTAAGGAGACAACTTTTCCTGCACCTGTAGCTGGTTTCTTTACGCTGCACTCATAGACACGTCCTGACACCCTGCCGAGGTCATTTCTAGGAAATCCAACAAGGCGCCCAGAAACCCGCCAGCCTTGCTTTCATTCGCTCCCGCTCGCTCCCTGTCGGTGCAGTCTCATTATTTCGGGCACTGGCAGCTTCAGCTCGGGTTACTCCACGAGATATGCTGCTAGGCTTGTCGAGTAAATAAGGTTTGTCTTAACAGTATCCCCGCTATGAGGGTGCAGCTTTAATGTGGAGGGGAGCCAATGAGTTTAAACGAGCCACATGAATGTACTTAGCTAAGTTAAAGGTCTGTTAATGATACACAGAGGACTGACCGGTGCTGTGACACAAAGTGTGCCCTCACAATGCATGGATAACAAGCTCACTACCGCTAAATAGCACAACTTCCTACTACAGTCGGGGGACGTTTCCACCATAAAGTGGTTAATTATAGTTTCGTGGTTTAAAGTAAAGGCTTAATGTAACCAGGAATCATTTAATAAACAGGGTAAGATTACGCATTCTGCCGCAACCGGGTTTGTGTCCTCAGTGTAAACCCGCCGCAGCGACACCGACACTGCCGACTAGCCCGGTGTGACACTTCTCACTAGGAAAAGGTTCAATCTAAACCCAATTACAACAGTCGTATCTGAATTAGATACCCCATGTACACAACAATGACTTCTTATCGTAATTTACATAAGTTGACGGGCAGCAAACGTGACTGAAAGCACTGCAGCAGTTGGATCTTGAGTTATATAACACCTAACAGTGGTTAGGGTCTTATGGGCCATGAGGAATACAACACCTTGTACACTGTACCATTAAAGTCAGAGGGAAGGTAACGTTAGTCTATAGCACAGCTCTTACAGCTCTTACAGCCCACACAGCCTCGAACATGGCGGGCTACCGGCGGACTCTCCTTCCCATCAAGGACACCCAGCAGTAGAAACTACTAGAAACTGGAAGTAGCTTCCATACACAGACAGCGTCCTAACTTAATGTGGTATTTACGCACACATATATTCTTTCATAGCAACGCTCAGTGAGCTAACAGGTAGCTATAACGTTAGCTCGGCCTGGCTACAAGGTGAGCTCCAGTGTGTCAAGGATGCTTCAATGTCGGCGTCGGTGTTAGCGGACACCTTCACGGCAAGAGACGCGTGGACAGCGCAAATATGAACCCTAACAACAATTACACAATCCAACATTAAACTGGCGCATTACTGTTGAATAACCCTTTTTGTTCACGCAAAGAGAGCAACCGAGCTATTCACCAACACTAAGAGCTAACGTTAGCTACAGACTACCGCCCAGCACCTCCCTCTTTGTACTCAAGCATCATTTTCAATAATGAAGCAATAAACTCAGAATGTCTTTGATATAACGGGAAGTTTGAAAGTGTACCTTTTGATTGAAATATGCGGGTGTAAGATCAGCCCGGTGCCGGTGTACGCTGCGTCTCTGCGCCGATGAGCGGTTTCTGACGGACGTAAAGAAGGTCACTTCACTTTAGAGGCACCGGCTTTTGACGTCATCCAATCACGTGCAGCACGGTCCGAATCCTGACGCCAACCCGTTCCGACCGGCCCCGTTCCATTACACGTAGAGGAGTTCCCTTACCCGACGTCATGTCTTTAAATGTGTTCTACTTCGTCTGGTTGCTGTGATACTATGGTTGAGTACACACAGATAACACAGTGGCGGTAAAACAAATGAAGATAATGTTGTCGATTCGTCTCTGGTCCCGTAAGAGAAGAGACAAGGAGATAGGAAAGGAAGCGATAGTGTGTATTGGAACCTGCTGCCGGATTCCCCAGCCTGCATTGTGGAGCAGAAAGCACCTGCTGGAGGAGCCTTATAAGGAGATGAATAAGCACGTTAACGTTATAAATGTGCATTTCGTTACTGTTAATGCAGATGAATGAAAGTATCAGTCGTTTTAGTCGTACAGAACTTGTGTTAATGTGTGTTAATTATTCCAGTTCCACTTCCTACATTCTGGGAATAGAGACAATCTCAACATGTTCTCATATTTTTGGCTCCATTCAGTATAAAATGTTTTGTGTACACATGTTGGTGCTTTCATATGCTATTTAGTCTGTTTTACGGGTGGGTAATTTATCATGATTATGAACAAGTCAAGACATTAATTCATCAGTTAATTAATTCACACTTTATATATAACTTTGGAAACCTGTGGTACTTATCTTTAAGTACAGGAGGCAACATTTCAACTAAAATTCTTCACTATAGTCTCTCAGTGCCTCTGGTAACCTGGTAGTTTAGTAATAACAATATAAGGTGAATAATAATTCAGTAATAGCTAAAAGGTAAAAGTTCATACATAAAGCGCCTTTCTAGAGCAGACTTCACAATAAAAGACATAAACAAGACATAAAATAAACAGTTTTAAGCTGTTTAAGGTGACCACAGTGTCCTCAGACTCAATGGGAGTTTAGAGGTCACAACCTCAAAGGCACATTCCTCTTTATTAAGTCTGGTGACTTGGTACAAGCTGTCTTCATAACGCTTTACCTCTTAATGCAAATGTAGATAGCTGACAAAATCCACACAGCTCAACACAAGCTTATATTAGGTATACATATCTTTATCAAGAATATAGTTTTTTATGTAGTCAATTCATATATTTTATTCTTGACAAATATTGAAATATTTCTCGATCTTATCAGAAGTTACAGTGAGGGAATGTAATTAAGTACATGTAAATATACTATATAGGTTATAATCATTGGCTGAAGTCCTATACAAAATAGTTTAAATGAGCTTGACCTCAACCAACTAGGCTACTAATGAACTGTAAACCCTGATTATACATGTATGTATGAGTAATATTAGTACTTTTACTGAAGGAAAGGATCTGAATGCTGGTGATGAGTTACAAAAGCTCTCTGCAGCATCTTCTCGTAACTTTCACCAACCGAGAGCCAGAGAGTGCTTGTACACCTCCCGTCCAGGAGGTGGCAGTGAACATTATCGGTCTCCTACCAGCTCTACTGACGGCTTCACAACTATGGGGATTTACACAATTATTGTCCCACTCTTTTCGAAAATAACAGTAACCAATGAAACAAGTCGTGGTAAACAAACGTAAAGACAACATGACTGGTTTTCTACAGGATTCACAGTGAGTACCCGTCGTCGGGTCTCGGTGTTGCTTTTCAATTGCAATGTCCAAAGTTCCGAATTGAAGCAGGAAATTCCGAAGAGCACCTAAACGTCTCACGAAGCAACGGTTACTGTTTGGCAGCATTCTGTTGAGCAGAAAGAAAAGATGGAGGAGTACCCCTCTAAACAGGGAACTGAAAACCTCGACGACCCTCCTAACAGCCGGCTTTTCGCGGTCACAAGTCGGTCCATAACCGAAGATGAGCTCCGGGAAAGTTTCTCTGTGTTTGGGGACATCCAGGGGGTTTGGGTCGTCAAAGACAAGCAGACCAAGGAGTCAAAGGGAATCTGTTATGTGAAGTTCGCCAAGTCTTCTCAGGCCTGTATGGCCATGGAGGAAATGCACGGCAAAGTGCTGATGGAAGGGACTAAACCCATCAAGGTAACGTTACCGGTGGGCCGCCGGGCAGCTGGTTAGTTAATGAAGTTAATATCTTATATATTTTAAGTGTCAGTCACGTTAGCTTGCTAGCATGCTACACGAGGGGCGTTAACCGTAAGCTGCAGTGTTACAAATGTGAGCCTGAATTAATATTATATGTATTATAAAATCCACATCGTCTCCTGCTGCTTTCTAACCATTCCTGCTTCTACTCAGTTCCTCCAGTACAGTTGAGGCGAAGATCATTCTGATTGTGGTGCCCAAAGCAAATGAAATCAAACAAATGGGGACAACAGGAACAACTCGTCTTTCCACAACCAGTGACTCGTTCAGGCTGATCCACATAGCTCAGTTCCGTCCTCTCTGAGAGGTTATGCAAACAGAAACAACAGTGGATGATCTTGATTAACCAGGATGCTGTAGACAGCTCATAGGAGCACACAGAACAGACTTTATTCACCCATCTACATTGTTTTCTGTCCTTTGTATGAAGGTGACAGCCCACGTTTCATAAGTAAGCAGCTCGAAATCAAAACCAGACTAGACAACATGAGTAAATGGGATGTTAGAAGGATTGAAGTCTTTCAAAATCCATGTTTATGGTAATGTTGTTTTCTGTTTCCCCCCTCTCTGTAGGTGTTTATCGCCCAGTCCCGGTCTTCAACAAGACACCGAGACGTAGAGGATGAAGAGCTGACGAGGATCTTTGTCATGATCCCTAAAACCTTCTCAGAGGAGGACCTTAAAGACACCTTTAAAGTAACCACCCATTACCACTCATCATCCCTTTTCTTTTTTATCTCTTTGTTAGCCTCTCTGTTCTTTATTTCTGCCTTCACCCTTTGGCTATGTGTGAAATAAAACACAGACTGCAGTGAAAAGTGTACTTGCTGTCTCTTGCCTCATTATATGTGGTTGAAGACATTAAATGGTGTGATCCCAAATAACCAGTTTAGAAGGAGGAATACAATTATCCCTTTCTCTGTCTGTGTCTGTGTCTCTGTCTGTGTCTCTGTCTGTGGTGTCTCTGTCTGTGTCTCTCTGTC